CAGTGCCTCTCCCACAACAGCTCCACTGACCAGATCTGCCATAATTAACAACACCCAGATGACAAAAATCCAAACTTGCTCCCTGAATTCGAAGTCAAACACCAACCGATGCCACTGTCGTTATGTGAGACGAAAAAAACAACGATCACGAGGTGTCTCGGAAAACAAACCAAGTTTTAATGAAGTGTATAAATAAGGTGATATCGATCATCAAACACGAATTTTTGTTAGTAAGATGAGTGGTTGCTGTGGTTTTTATATGTACACTTTAGCTAAGCTTCGCGGTCTTTGCCGAGAAATTTACAGGAAAGGAAAGGGCTTTCGTATTCGTGTTACTCACGTTAAGGAATAAACTATAAACATGAAACTTCACATAAATAAATAACCGCTCATTTTAGTTGTTCACTAAAAAACTCAGTAGATATAAAAAGAGTGTGTAAAAATAATTAAATATTTAATAATTTCTAATACTCTAATTTCCTTAATTTTTGGAATAATTAAAATTAATTCCAATCACCGGTATCAATGAGACTGATAAATAAATAAAATCTCACTTCCTAGTGAAGTAACTAAATGCACCTTTTTCCAGTTAAAAAAGGACAATATATTGAGACTTGCCTCATACATGACATAACTGCTAACTATACTTTAAATAACTTAACCATAATAACTAAATTTGTATGACGCGTTATTAATGTAAATTAGATTAAAACCGTTAAACCTAATCATTAAAGATAAAAAAGCAGGATTTGAACCCGACGTGAATCGAACACGCAACCTTCTGATCTGGAGTCAGACGCGCTACCATTGCGCCACGGATCCACAGTTAAGAATATTTCAGCATAGTAAATATAAGATACATTTTAAAGCCTATAAAATGGACAATCCATAAGATTACCAAAGTCCAACAGAAACAACTATTATTATTTATATTCATTCATTAATACAGCATAACCATGCAGATTATTCATATACCAAGTTCCCAACTACAAAGCTATCACTCTATCTTCTTCTCCTTGGATATTCTGCTTTTAATCTTATGAATGGTCTTCTCATCAATAATCTCATAACATCTCTTGTATTTCTCCCTTAACCACTCCCCAAATCTCTTGATCTTGTCCTCGTTCTTCACATAAGTTAATGGAATTGCCATTCCCACTAATACACCTGCACATCAAATCAAAATTATAAACAAACAGAGAGCTTGATCGAGTGTGAAAAAAACAACGCAAAACAACTTTACCACGTACCGATATAAACTACTGTAAGCAGGTCCATGCAGCTTCCCAAATAAGACAGTGACAAGAATCCAGCCACAACCCCCACAAATACTGGCCACTCTTTCCTTACACTCACAAGGACCAACCACCTTATTATTTTTTCAAACCATGCTCGAACTTCGTTTGCTATTCTTCTAGTTGTTTCTTCACTCAACTCCAACCTCAAGAAGTTTGGTTGTTCCCTAAATTTCACAGAAAAAACTGTTACATGTACTAGGTATATAGGTATTTCATGTAATCAAGTTGTGTAACAATTAGTTGATGATTGTGCAGTGATTTTGCATCCCCATCATAATAATCTAGTTGCTATATGTAAGTAATGAAGAAGAATGTGAGAAGACAATTTTGTATCAGAAAAAAAGCAAGAGAAGGGTTCTTACTTGCCCAAAAGTCTAAGCATATTGGCATAGAGGAATGTTGAAGCAACAACGAGTATGGCAACCCATGAGATGACAGTGAGGAAGTTGAACTGAAATACTTCCATCAACACCCATGCTGCTGTTGCCACTACAATAACGATTGCATTTAGTTTCTTTCTTCTCCACAGAACTACATCCTTCACTACACCATCGTCAACATCTACACCACAAAATTAAAGCACAAAGTTGAGTCTAAAGGATCGATCTTTAATGTAAAGATTATGAAGCATATGATGAAATATACCTGAGGAGTAAGAGGGGTTGGTCAAAGGTTTTGTTTCTTGTTTTGCTTCTGCAGACATGATGAGGAAGATTGTGATGAAATGAAGATGATGTTCAGGGTAGGTTCAAAGCCACAAGATTGCTTCAAATATGGTGTTTCAATGGAGGTGAAGTTGTTTGGCTAAAAGGGTACTTCTGTGTGACTTACACGTGTAAGATTCTGAGGAGACGTGGAACCATCGAAGCATTCGTGGCACCTTCATATTACCTTTTTGCATTTTGTAGCTAACGGTGCCGTTTTGGTTAAACTGGTGGAGATAAGCATAAGGAGAAAGGTTAACAAATAAAGCGGCTAAAATATTTACACCAAGGGTGAGATGAACGATAAACCATTCGTAAAAGAAGAACACTGGCTAAATTTGAGTAACCGATTATACTGTAATTCATACAAAAAAATGAAAGAAAAAGTCTCACAATAATTAGTCACACGTCTTTTAATGTTGGTTTATACACAATAAAAATCCTCTACTTTCCATAAACAATACATACAAAAATCAATAATCAAAGAGTAAAAGTATTCTTTAAAGTTTAATATCATTTTGTAACGAAATTTATTTACATTTAAATAAGAAAAAAATTAATATTTTTAATTAAAATAATATTATGATTAAGTAAATTGAATTTAACTCACTAATCAATTATAATTAATAAGTGAGTTAAATTGAGTTAGCTTGTTAAATGATTAACATGTGATAAATTAGATTGGGTTAGGTCCGAATAGTCATTTTACAACACAAACAAATATTTATAAATTTTCATCGATTTTTGTATTTATGTTAATATAATTGATTATATATTAATTACTCATATGTGGAGATAAAGAGATATAAATAAAAAAGAATAAAAAAATTAACTATTTTAAAATAAAGATTAAAAGTTTAAAACAATTATTGGTTTAGTATGGAACAATTTTCATTAATATCACAATAAATAATATATGTACTTATATTATCAGTTACCTATTCTCACTCAAATGTAAGAAAAATAATTTACGATAGTAAAAAAAACTAGTTAGTATAATTTAATTTAATCAATTACTTATAAAAGTAACGTGTTTTTCTTGATCTGTCTTTTTACTTAAATTTTGATTACAAATAAAAAATTAAAAAATAAAATTTCAATTAAATAAAAATATTTTTACGATAATTCGATTAAACCGAACTAGGGTTATCTTTTTACGAAAGAATCCTTACAGGATTTACTGCAAGAAATAGGAAAAATGAATAAGCATGCATGATGGTGGGTCTATGTAAGGCTGTGTTCGCATGCGCGGATTTAACTCTTCACGGTAATTTGTGAGCGACGATAGAGAGAGGTAAGCGTGTTCGTTTGGACCGATTTACGCGGATGGAAAAGGATGGATTTGCGGGATGGCACGATTTTAACAATCTTCGCTGAGATGATTTGCGCGGATTCTTACCCATTTACGCAATTGCCCTGAACCATTTCCGTAATACCCTGTACATATTTACATGAAACTGAAGGTGGTGTAATCGGTGAAGGTGGTGTAATCGGTTATTGGAGGGTGTAACCGGTTACGCTGAAGACCATGAAAAGGAAGCCATATGTAATCGGTTACGCACTGAGTAACCGGTTACCAGCAGTGCAAAATTTCTGCTCGTGTAATTGAAAAAGTCGCATGAAGGAGAGGAAGGTGGACGATGCCGGAGCCTGGACGATGCACCACGGATGGCCTGCAGGTTGTTCTTCTTCTTCACATACCAGCATGAAGGTGAGGAAGGTGGAGGAAGGTGGAGGACGGTGGATGATGGTGGAGGCTGGACGTAGCAGAGGATAGGATGCAGCCAGGTGTTCTCATGTTGCACAATACTGGATTCTTTTCCCAACTGGATGTGATGGTGGCTGCAGCTGCTGGAATGAAGACTGTGAAGGTGGTTGCAGTTGTTTCAATTCCAAGCTGCTGGACCGTGAGGTTGCCTTTGTCCAGCTCTACTCTTCCATGAAGTGAATGAATCCTCCTTTCTTCCATCCAAGCCATGAGAAGCATCCCTCCAAAGAGATAAAAACCGTGAACTTGGTGGCTCTCTTACTTCAACAAATTCAACACTTTGCATGCCAAGCCATCAACTCCACTTCCTCTCCCTTCTTTTACGTGAGGTGCAGCCAGAAAATGGAGAAAGCCGTGAGGTGCCCCTTCTCCATCCAGCTTATGGGTTTTTAATTCATAAGCCAAAGTGGTGGCTCCCGTTTAGTCAAAATAAAATGTTGAAGGTTGTAGCCTTGGACTTTGCAAAAGTAATGAGGGGACCATTTAAACAAAATTCAGACTTTTCTTGGAGTTCCTACATTATATGCTTCCAAGTAGGCCATTACCTTCTTTTTCATGTGCCACTTTCCTCTTCTTTGGACGTTTTCAAACATGGTGGCCCCCCTCCTTTTGATTCCACTCCAATGTGCTGAAATGCTTTGCCCAAAACAATATGTGGCCGTGTGGCCGTGAGCTATAATGGATGTGTGAAATATGCCTTCCTGCATGGGGCCGTGTGGTTTCCCTTCATAATACTAATTCAGCACTTTTGCATTTTGGAGTTCCTTGACTTTTCAACAATTGTGGCCCCTTTCTTCCTTATTCCAATTAATAGATTTGCCAAAAAATGAATTGTTAGTGGTACCAAATGATATTGGAAAACCATGAGCTGCAACAATACCAAAACGTGATGGTCACTTTTTTTATATTCCAAACTATGTGTTGGATGCTTGCCAATTTAAGTTTGCCGTGTACACTTCATCATTGAATTCCAATGTATTTCCGATAATGTATTCCATGACTTCAATGTCTTTATTGTGGTTTGTAAGTGACTTTGAAATCTTAAATTATGTTAAAATTTTCCTAAACATTTTAAAATATATTTATTTTACTACATTATAACTTTTATAATTTTTAAACAATATTTTTAACAATTATTAATAATTTTTTATCTCTTTATAAACTTTTTTACAATTAAATATAACATTACAAAATAACATTTTATAATACTTTTATAAGAAGGNATGTTATTACAAGTCAAAATTTGTGTGATATTTCCAGAATGACCCGACTCAAACTCCTACTTTTTTCACTGCAGTAACATGGTTCTAAATTTGCACATGATGCCGAGTCTATCGAGTTCAGAAAACATGTCTCGTGAATGACCACGCTAAATTACATGAGGTATTCTTTCAAGTCACATTGATGTGTTATATTAACAGAATCAACCAACTCAAACTCCCACTTTTCCACTGCAGTGACATGGTTCCAAATTCAAACATGATTCCTAGCCTATCAATTTCAGAAAACATGTCTCAAGAATGAACTCTAGGAAGCCAATTTAAGTTAACCTCCACTGTAGGTATCTCTATCTTCAAATTGCGAATGGTAGAATTTTTCCATAGGGAAGCCATTTCTTCATCACAGATCACGTGTATTTCATGCTCTAAATTTTCAAACTTATCGACCGAGTCTGGCAGTTCTCTCAGTTTTGAGCAACCCTTCAAGTAGAGCTTCTGAAGCTTCAACTCACCAATGTCATCTGGTAATTTGGTAAGACTTAAACAGTCTGAGATATCGAGACAGCTAAGTTTGTTAAGCTCTTTAACAGAATCTGGCATATATGCCAAATCAGAGCAGGAACATAGCCTTAGAACTTCCAAATTCTCCAGCTTTGCAAGATCTTGTGGCAGTGCAGAAAGCCCGTGACAGTTAGTGATACTAAGCTTTTTCAATGGGGTGATGTTACACAGCCCATCAGGCAATTTAACCAGATCTTTGCAATAATCAATGCTCATCTCCACGAGATTTGGCATTGCATCCGAGATAGAATATCTTTCAAAAGCCTGCCGTGTATTACACATATGAATGGACAATTTTCGTAGATTCTTCAATATGCACAGGGGAGGGATTGAAACCTTTTCCAATCTGATTCTTTTCAAATTAGTTAAAGAACCAAGTCGCTCAAACATGTTTAGTTCAGAGCGATGGAAACCATAATTTGTGACAATCAGAACTTTCAGTTTATGCATCTTCTCTGTGAACTCTGGCAACGAGTACTGGCTAGAAAGAAGATTTAAAACCAGAACCTCAGCTTCGTCTGGTTGCATGTCACACCAATCCGAATTAAACGTTTCATCTGCAAAAGCATCATGTTTGACATTAACAGTGGAAGATTAAGTTTGACACGGCACAAGCGTACTTCTTTCTTATTAGTTCATATATTTTCAAAACAATTACCAGTTTTTTGGAATATGTTTGTCAATTTATAACAATGAATCAGTTACTCCTATGCTACCTTCAATGATAGCAATTTAATGGAGGAAAAGGATGCTATGGTCAAATGCACTTCAGTTCCTTCTGAAGTCAAGATAATCAATTATTATGAAACTTGGAGTGGCATGTAGCATTTATCATTTATGTATGCGCATTCCCTATAGTTTGGACAGAGAGAAACATACCAGTTGAAATAGACAATATGCGAGCAGCAACCTTTGGTTGTTTCTGTCTATGCAACATTCCCAGGATGTATGAGAAGGAACGGCCAATGATTCCAAGCGGATTCAGTCCTACCCACCATTCAGGACGATTATCTCCCTTTAACTCAATCATCACTCTTTCTCTCTGTTCAAATGTTTTTTCCCCTTTGCTCAGATGTATTGCCAGCTCTCTAAGGAGATCATGCACCAAAACAAAATGGTTATTGTAGTACATGTCTGTATCCTGTGCAACTTTCCTGCACAAGGGAAGAACAAAAAACCCAACAAGATTAACAATTTTATTTCTTTGCTTCATAATTATAATAAAATAAGTTACATATATACATGCTTTCCATCTTCTTTTACTTCAAGATATAGATTAATCTCAAAATATCTTATGCATGCACTAAGATTATCAAGTATGCTGAAATTATAACATTTTCAACTTATATAACTGTTATTCTTATGTGATAGTGATGACAATCGTATCTATTCGTCCACTAGTGAAACCTACATTATTAGCTTGATTGATTCATATTATTGAATATAACACATATAATCCCTTTTTCAAGCCACATTCGTAAGATGTTTTGTGCTCATATAATTAAGCATTAGATGACCAACAGGGAGAAGGGTGGAGATGCCATGTACCTTGTAACTATAACATTAATCAAATTCCTGGTGGTTAAATCATGGATAATGGACATTGCATTGCTACCATCTTCATTAAGGTTATACAGTTCTGCCCACATATCAATGAGGGCGGCTACAGGGATTCTTTGATCTTCAGGAAATAGCCCCAGATCCATGAAAAACTCCTTTCCATTGACGGAGAACTTAGTCTCCAATATATCTAAACTTTGTTGAAGACGAAAACGCAAATCAGTATCAGACTCCAGAATGGATTGCTTTTGTAAATGCTCCATCATATCTCGCCACACCTCAAAAGACTTGTTACAGAGCGATCCAGCAATCACCTTAAGGGCCAATGGTGAACCCTTGCAACCTTTCACTATCTGCGTTTCAGGGCAACATAATAAAATCAGTAAATAAATTGAAAGGCTGGGTAACTACGTTGTTCATATCCTAATACAGAAAGGTGAATATGACAAACGGACAAATTATGTGTAGTGTGAGTGATTTTGTAAAAATAGAAGCACCACCTCGTCGACAAGATTTTTTTCAGGTATGTATGAGCTTTTGTCTTTCAGCTGTGCAAAGTGACGGAAAAGGGATTCTGCATGGACATCATCAAGTTTATCCAACTGGTATGAGGTGCCAAATCTTGGAAATGAAACCCTTGAAGTAACCAAAATCTTGTAATCAGGTATCTGAATTTTAAACTTCTCAACAAGGTCTTCTGAGCCAGGCCAAACATCATCCAAGACCAACAATATTGGATGTTGCCCAAGAAGCCTCAGCAGAACTTCCAGTCGATTTACTGCATCTTCATCGGTTTGAAACTTCGGAACCTTAAAACCGCAGTGTTCAAACAGTGTCTCCACAATGGTCTTCAAGTCGGGAGTTTTTGATACAGTGACAAAGAAGATGTTTTTCCCGAACTTGTCTAGTGAAAACAAAATAGCTTTCTAAATTATCTGAGATACTATTCCATAATGCATGTCATGCATATACGAGCTAGTGATTCCAGAATAAATAATTTAGATCAATAATATATCATACGATCACATTGAGAATCACCGCATCACCCGCAATTTCTCACAACATCGAATATTGCAAGGAAACGTAACCACAACCACAATTTGAAGCCTTATATTAAAGGTAATATTCAATTAGTCTTCTTTCAATATTTTTTCTAGCAATTCAAACACAGTCCTATTATGGAGCACGAGAAGAAGAGAGGGAAGAGAGTTAGTTACCTTTGACTTGAGGGACCCAACATATCTTCTTAGCCAGTGTGCTTTTCCCCGACCCTCCCAAACCAGTCAAGACAAGAACAGACACACCATCCTTGAGCAACTCAATCCTCAGCTTGCTTAAAGGCACAACCATTCCCAAACACTCAGGTTCTTGAGGAGCCCCACAGATACCCATGAACTGATACTCAGGATAACGCCCGAATCCCTCTTTTAGCAGAATCTCCATAACCTTCCTCATGTCGTCCATCACCTTCATCAAGTTCGCCGTGTTCTGCGCCGTCATGTTCATCGATAAGTGCGTCTGGAGAGCCCCGTCTTTGCTCCGAAGCTTGCTCTGGTAATAAGGGAACGACCACATTTTCGACCGACCCAATTTCGAGCACTTCCGAACCAGCTCTTGACTATTTCGCATGAGACTCTCCAACTTCTCTATCTCCTTGCTGGGCCGATCCAACCTCATGTTGTACATCTTCATCTCCTCCACCAGAGGAGCCAAAGACTCTAAGGTTTCTATGTTGCTATCGAGTGTGGATTTGAAGGCTACACCTTTTTTTATGATTGAAATAGCCCCTTTCAATGCCTCTCCCATCAGTGCTCCCACAGCAGCTCCACTGAACAGATCTGCCATAACTAACAACACCCAGATGACAAAAATCCAAACTTGCTCCCTGAATTCGAAGTCAAACACCAACCGATGCCACTGTCGTTATGTGAGACGAAAAAAACAACGATCACGAGGTGTCTCGGAAAACAAACCAAGTTTTAATGAAGTGTAAAGAAGGTGATATCGATCATCAAACACGAATTTTTGTTAGGAAGATGAGTGGTTGCCGTGGTGTCTATATGTACACTTTAGCTGAGCTTCGCAGTATTTGCCGAGAAATTTACAGGAAAGTTAAGGGCTTTCGTATTCGTGTTACTCACGTTAAGGAATAAACTATAAACATGAAACTTCACAAATAAATAACCGCTCATTTTAGTTGTTCACTAAAAAACTCAGTAGATATAAAAAGAGTGTGTGTAAAAATAATTAAATATTTAATAATTTCTAATACACTAATTTCCTTAATTTTTGGAATAATTAAAATTAATTCCATTCACCGGTATCAATGAGACTGATAAATAAATAAAATCTCACTTCAAATCCAAGTGAAGTAACTAAATGCACCTTTTTCCAGTTAAAAATTGCCTCATACTCATACATGACATAACTGCTAACTATACTTTAAATAACTTAACCATAATAACTAAATTTGTATGACGCATTATTTCATAACATTATATTTTGTGATGTGTTTCAGTGTACAATCCTATCATAAATTTAGCCATTTTTCAATGTTGTCAAAAGGAACTGAGCTAATGTAAATTAAAATTTCTTTCCCAAAAATGGAATCTACTGTCAACAATGAATTACCAAAACAAAAAAGGTAGCAAGTGAAAGAGTTCTATTGACAACTGATGCAGATTAAAACCGTTAACCTAATCATTGAAGATATAAAAAAAACCGACTTGAACCCGACGTGAATCGAACACGCAACCTTCTGATCTGGAGTCAGACGCGCTACCATTGCGCCACGGATCCACAGTTAAGAATATTTCAGCATAGTAAATATAAGATACATTTTAAAGCCTATAAAATGGACAATCCATAAGATTACCAAAGTCCAACAAAAACAACTATTATTATTTATATTCATTCATTAATACAACATAACCATGCAGATTATTCATATACCAAGTTCCCAACTACAAAGCTATCACTCTATCTTCTTCTCCTTGGATATTCTGCTTTTAATCTTATGAATGGTCTTCTCATCAATAATCTCATAACATCTCTTGTATTTCTCCCTTAACCACTCCCCAAATCTCTTGATCTTGTCCTCGTTCTTCACATAAGTTAATGGAATTGCCATTCCCACTAATACACCTGCACATCAAATCAAAATTATAAACAAACAGAGAGCTTGATCGAGTGTGAAAAAAACAACGCAAAACAACTTTACCACGTACCGATATAAACTACTGTAAGCAGGTCCATGCAGCTTCCCAAATAAGACAGTGACAAGAATCCAGCCACAACCCCCACAAATACTGGCCACTCTTTCCTTACACTCACAAGGACCAACCACCTTATTATTTTTTCAAACCATGCTCGAACTTCGTTTGCTATTCTTCTAGTTGTTTCTTCACTCAACTCCAACCTCAAGAAGTTTGGTTGTTCCCTAAATTTCACAGAAAAAACTGTTACATGTACTAGGTATATAGGTATTTCATGTAATCAAGTTGTGTAACAATTAGTTGATGATAGTGCAGTGATTTTGCATCCCCATCATAATAATCTAGTTGCTATATGTAAGTAATGAAGAAGAATGTGAGAAGACAATTTTGTATCAGAAAAAAAGCAAGAGAAGGGTTCTTACTTGCCCAAAAGTCTAAGCATATTGGCATAGAGGAATGTTGAAGCAACAACGAGTATGGCAACCCATGAGATGACAGTGAGGAAGTTGAACTGAAATACTTCCATCAACACCCATGCTGCTGTTGCCACTACAATAACGATTGCATTTAGTTTCTTTCTTCTCCACAGAACTACATCCTTCACTACACCATCGTCAACATCTACACCACAAAATTAAAGCACAAAGTTGAGTCTAAAGGATCGATCTTTAATGTAAAGATTATGAAGCATATGATGAAATATACCTGAGGAGTAAGAGGGGTTGGTCAAAGGTTTTGTTTCTTGTTTTGCTTCTGCAGACATGATGAGGAAGATTGTGATGAAATGAAGATGATGTTCAGGGTAGGTTCAAAGCCACAAGATTGCTTCAAATATGGTGTTTCAATGGAGGTGAAGTTGTTTGGCTAAAAGGGTACTTCTGTGTGACTTACACGTGTAAGATTCTGAGGAGACGTGGAACCATCGAAGCATTCGTGGCACCTTCATATTACCTTTTTGCATTTTGTAGCTAACGGTGCCGTTTTGGTTAAACTGGTGGAGATAAGCATAAGGAGAAAGGTTAACAAATAAAGCGGCTAAAATATTTACACCAAGGGTGAGATGAACGATAAACCATTCGTAAAAGAAGAACACTGGCTAAATTTGAGTAACCGATTATACTGTAATTCATACAAAAAAATGAAAGAAAAAGTCTCACAATAATTAGTCACACGTCTTTTAATGTTGGTTTATACACAATAAAAATCCTCTACTTTCCATAAACAATACATACAAAAATCAAAAATCAAAGAGTAAAAGTATTCTTTAAAGTTTAATATCATTTTGTAACGAAATTTATTTACATTTAAATAAGAAAAAAATTAATATTTTTAATTAAAATAATATTATGATTAAGTAAATTGAATTTAACTCACTAATCAATTATAATTAATAAGTGAGTTAAATTGAGTTAGCTTGTTAAATGATTAACATGTGATAAATTAGATTGGGTTAGGTCCGAATAGTCATTTTACAACACAAACAAATATTTATAAATTTTCATCGATTTTTGTATTTATGTTAATATAATTGATTATATATTAATTACTCATATGTGGAGATAAAGAGATATAAATAAAAAAGAATAAAAAAATTAACTATTTTAAAATAAAGATTAAAAGTTTAAAACAATTATTGGTTTAGTATGGAACAATTTTCATTAATATCACAATAAATAATATATGTACTTATATTATCAGTTACCTATTCTCACTCAAATGTAAGAAAAATAATTTACGATAGTAAAAAAAACTAGTTAGTATAATTTAATTTAATCAATTACTTATAAAAGTAACGTGTTTTTCTTGATCTGTCTTTTTACTTAAATTTTGATTACAAATAAAAAATTAAAAAATAAAATTTCAATTAAATAAAAATATTTTTACGATAATTCGATTAAACCGAACTAGGGTTATCTTTTTACGAAAGAATCCTTACAGGATTTACTGCAAGAAATAGGAAAAATGAATAAGCATGCATGATGGTGGGTCTATGTAAAAGATGATTTTAAGTAGCTACATATGCTCCACTTTTATATGTTTAACCCATCACATGCTAAATCATATTTTTTTAATGTTAAATAAGAAACATTTAATTAATTTTTCTATACTTTGAATGCATGATATATGTTTTTCTAATATTTAAATATAATGGGATATGTAATTGTTTTATTTTTATTTCAAAGAAAAGTTGTAGTTGAGACTGTATATGTGTTGTAGACATGTATGTAGTCGTGAATGTGTTTGAATTTATACATGATGAAAATCTAAATGTCAGCGACAAATCTATGAACTAGAAAGAAACTAAAATTTTGTTTATTTTTTAACTTTTAAAATACAAAGTAGAAAGGAAACATATATAAGAAAGGAAGAGGAAAATAGAAGCGGAAACGAAAAAAAACGGTAAAAGCATATTAGTGTAACAGAGAGGAAGGGTAATAGTTTTTGGTGTTTTGACATCTCTACGTAGATGTTGATCGTGTCAAGTTTGGAATTAAGCTTATGAAAGGTGGATGGAGGAAAGATTTAGTAAGGATATCAACAAATTACAAGGTGGAGCGTATGAAAATAAGCTTGACAATGCCTTACTAAACTTTTTCCTGAATAAGGTAGCAGTTGAATTCAATATGTTTGGTTTGTTCGTTAAAGGATATTTCTTGAATTCAAGGTAATTTTCAATGCAGATATGCTATAATAGAAGACAGTAGTTGAATGAAAAAAAAAAGAATATTCAGATCATGCATGAGATTTCTTGGCCATTGTAATTTACAAACACTTTGAGCAAGAGTGTGTTGTATAAAAGCTAACAAAATCATAAGCAATATTTCCTTAGGCGTGTAGATTCACTGTCCTTAAGGACTTATCCGTGGTGTATATCCGTGGTGTATTGCGCAAGGAGAGGAAAGGAAGAAAGTAGAATCAGAAAAGACTGACTTGGAATGTCTTTTGGAATGAGAAAATAGATCTAAACAAAATGAACGTTGCTTAATAAATATATTACCGTTTGCCCATATAAAATTTTAATGACAAAGTTTAGCCTCTCAATAATGCAATCTCTAGCACTTTCACACACACCATAGGAAGGGACATAATTGATTAAAATCAATTTAGTGCTATCAGAACTAACAATCCCTCGATGTTTCTAATATCATTTGTCTTCTCAGGGGTTTTGTCAGAGGATCTACTAGATTTCGTTCTGACTTCACTAGTCAATGGAAATAGTTCTTTAGTAGTTGCTTCACCAAATTTTGTCTCTATTCTTTCCATTGTAATTCTTGTTTTTAGCTATAACTATTGTCGATTAGCAATCACAGTGTATTGACACCAACGATGTTGGTTTCATTCCTAGTGGAATGTTTGCTAAGAAGATTTTCAACCACTCAGCCTCACTAATAGCCATCTCAAGAGCGACAAACTCAGATTCCATTGTTGATCTTGCAAAAATTGTTTGTCTGGCTGATCTTCATGTAATCGCACCACCCCCAAGTGATGTGAATACATAACTACTAGTAGATTTTATCTCATATGAATCAGATATTCAGTTAGTATCACTGTACCCTTCTAGTACAGTGGGAAATCCACTATATTCAATGACATAATCCATTGAACCTCTTAAGTATCTCATAAGCCTAGCAAGTACATTCCAATGTTCCTAATTTGAACATTGAGTGTACCTACTCAGTCTACCTATGCATAAGGTCTAAAAAAGTTCATCAAGTGCAGTAAGCTCCTAATTATTTGGGATACTGAGGCTGAGATAATGGTTCTCCTCTATTTTTCATTAATTTAGAATTAGCATCATAAGGAGTAGTCACTAGTTTTAAGTCATAAAACCCAAACTTCTTAAGAAGTTTCTCAATGTATTGTTCTTGAGATAGTCCCAAACTTCTTAAGAAGTTTCTCAATGTATTGTTCTTGAGATAGTAATATACAATCTCCCTTCCTTATGATTTTAATACTTAAAATCAGATTGGGTGAAAAGTCAAATTTATTTCTTCAAGTAATTAAATAAAATTACCTACACCCCCACAGTTTAAAAATATTTAAGATTGGTAAACGAGAAAATACCTAAATGTGCTTTTCTCTTTGTAGGTAAAGTATACGAAAATTTACTAAAGTACCTCATCTTCTTCGTCCTCATCCGCGGTCCTTACAAATACGATCAGAAGCCATCGTTGCTGCGAGCACCTTGGCAGCCTCCGAAAGTTATGGGTTTCGCAATTATTGTTTGAGTTCTGAAAACAAAGTTTTTATCCTCCAGGATTGAGTTGTTGATGTCAGCCCTAAGTCCTTAAGATTGTTGTATAAAATCTGACAAAATCATCAGTAATATTTCCTAAGATGTGTAGATTCAGGACTTATGTATTGCGCAAGTCTCCTAAGATACAACAGAGGCCCAGGACAGAATAAACCCAGAATAATTTTAGGAGAAGAAAAAAAAGAAAGTAGAATCAGAAACTAAGATGTCTTTTGGAACGAAAAAATCTCTTTATTTATAGAGCTAAGGAAAAATCAATTAAATAAAAGAAATTAAAAATCATAAATGTTTTCAAACATTGCCGTAATTAAAACAATTTGAACGTTGCTACTCTTTAAAAACAAAATGAACATTGCTTAATAAATATATTACCGTTTGTCCACTAATAACAACTGTTCCAAAGCAACGTTCTAAAGCAACGTCTTCACTTTTGCAATATAATAATAATATATTACAACAGAGTGCAATACTCGGCTTCTGAAGAATTGCAAGACAATCGTTTGCTTTTTTTTTTTTTTTCATAATATAGGTGAGTCACTCAAATAAACAATACAACCAGTGGTGGATTTTTGAGAGTCAAGCCAACCAACCCAATCAAAATCACAATTTGAAAGTGATGGATTAAATAACCTTTAAAAAGATATCTTGAGTATGAGTTTATTTAATGTAATGCAAGATTTTTAAAGCAACTTAGTCAAAGAAGCAAACGATGAATAACATAAATAATATTGAGGCATATGTTGGTGAGATAGATAAACCTCCCTATGATAAAGGGTACACCAAGTATTCCTTTTTTATTAAGAAAGTTAAGAGCATACTTATTTTAGGACAAATGAATATATTAGCTATTTCTCCCTATTTTAAAACTCAAAAAATTAAATAAGTAACCAAGATTTTTTACTTTGAAACTACCATTAAGGATGCTAGTGATGTAATTAGTAACATGCATGTTATGACCGGTAGATTATATTTTCAACGTAAAGTAGCATAATAGTAATGTTGTTACCTTTGTTTTTAGTAAATATAGAATAATCACATTATGTTTGTTTGAAATCGTGAGAGATAAGAAAACAGAACAATTTGTGGTAGAGAGATTTGTAAAAAATATAAATTTTATTTTCCCCTGATGCAGTAATCCCCAGTGGCAATTGCATGTACACTTCTTGGCTAAAGTCATCATAATAACAAGATCTTATTATGTACACTTCTCGATTAAAGTGCCAATTCTTTGCGGATAACAAAACTTTTGTTTTCGAACATTAACTTTAATATTTTTACAAATACTCTTATCGAAATCAAGGAAAAAAAAATCCAAGAGATAACATTAACTTAGTGGGCACCTCTAAAAACATATTTATTTATTCTATAAAACTTGTCAAATCAAATAATACGGTATAACTTAATTTGGTCATTTGTGTTTAATGTTGTTTAGTGGAAATATTTCTTTAATTTCGTTCATTTAAATAATATATTTCGATTTTAGCTTTAATCAAGACACAAAATAAACGTTCTTAATATATTTTCAACTCTATAAAAACAGTAGAAACCATCATATCATAAATGAACAGAGAGATCTTGAATACGTATAAAATGAAAAAATATGTCTCCTAACATGAGTTACCTGCCTTATATTTCAATCTGAATATTGGGAATTACTTTTTGTTTGAAGTAGTGTATAGATTTTTATTTTTTAATTTAATTTAAAAATATTAAACACTCTATATTATCTTTAGAAATAACTTCTCAAAAACCTTTAAGAAACAAAGTTTTATAAAGATTTAATATATTTCAGAACTATTATTTTTTGTAAAAAAATTACTGTTCTTAAAGAAATGTAAAAGTGATAAAAAAAGGGTGGAAAATCTTTCGCCCTGAGGGGAGTGGTAGGTGGATCTGCAGACAGGGAGAAGGTAAAAGGAGGTTTTGATGAGATGGATGGGGCAATAGTTCATAAGTTTGATTGAAGTGTTACCAGCCTCTTGTTTCGTTCTTCAACTCACAATGGATAAACACACTCGCGAACATGCTATGTCTCTCTTCAATTTTTTATTTTATTTTTTTTGTCTAGGCCAGCAGAATTAAATATGTAATATTATGAACCATTCCTCGTTTTTCTTCTTTTTTCTTACTCTTGTTTCCGTTTCGGACTTCTTTTTTTCAACTTTTTTTATTTAAAATTCAACTGGCTAAACATATTATCATTATGTCGCATTAAAGGTATCTGTACCCTTTACCAACTCCACATGGACGCGTAGTTTGATATATTTATTAAATATAAATATAAATTTATCTTCGCCAACCCACACCAAACAAAAATCAAAATGTTGTATCTTGTCGGTGCTACTTTTACATCAACAGTATATAGCGAAATACGAATATAATAATTATGAAGAGGTAAATTTTTACATTTGTAAAACAAATAAACAATACATTATACGAATACAGTAATCATGAAAAAGTAATTTTTTATATTTGTAAAAAAAAGTAAAAAATAAAAAGTAATATTGAATGAATGTAAAAAAAAATTGTGTATCAAAGTATTGGAGAATTCACAGTAGTTAAGTGACGGAAACTTTCTTTTTGGTTAAGATTATAGATTTTTTTAAAACCGCGTAGATTACCTTAAATTGTGTTCTTTGCGCCAGGACAAATTAACTTTTCCACATTATAATATAATTTGTTCGACGTTACCACCTTAAAGAAATGTGACGTTACCACCTTAAAGAAATGTCACCTTTAAGGTCATTTGTTGAGTGATTTGAGAGAATGAATTTGAAGAGGTTTGAAGAATTTTAAAATAAATTTTTTTTTCGTTTATTTGAGTAAATTTGGAGATAAATGAAAATAAATTTGAAAATAAAATTTATGATAATTAGTATAAAATTATATTAACGTAACTTTCTTATTTATTTCTAAATTTATTTAAATAAACGATAAAAAAATTTATCTTCAAATTTTCTCAAATTTTATCCTCTTCTTTTTTAAATTTACTCAAAAGAAGAGGGCCTTGAGGTCCGAATTTTGACGAGGGTTCAAAGTTCAAACGGAACAATGAAGAAAAAGCAACCCAACCGTTTACGAGTGAAAAACCACAACAGGAAATAAGAGAGGAAGAAGGAAAGTTCCACTTTTTAATAATGGGGTCAGTATACACAGAAGATAATTTCTAGGAGGCGTGGTATTTTCATTTTCTTTGGCCGTAAGGAACTAGTAACTAACGCGAAAACGCGTTAACCGCGCCGAAAATGAACGATGAATTTGCAACCTTATTAAACAAACAAAATTATGACTTTATTATTAAAATAACGCTGGATTAGCTACTTCAATCATGTTTTGGTACTGTTTAGTGTAATTTTAGTATATATGAAGGCGGCACAGAGCATAGTGGGTGTAAGTTAGTTTTGGGAGTGTCACTCTTCCTGCAGAATCCAGATCTGGTACTTTTCACATCGCTTCCTTTCGTAGAAACTCAAGGATCGTGTATCATTTTGAGTTTCTAGTTCCAAGCTTTCTTTTTTATTTTCTCTTCAGTAATACTGAACTGTTAAGTAGTGACGGTGTGTTTCTTTCTTGTCATTTTCAGTACACAACATGGGAAGCGCCACTTTGCTACATTTGCTATGCCTTGTCATTGCTTTAGTAAATGTGTCCCTTGTGCAAGCTGAAGATGCATATAAGTTTTACACATGGACGGTGACTTATGGAAATCTTTCTCCACTGGGTAGTCCCCAGCAGGTGGATAACCAATCTGTTTTTCTTGGATCTGAGATATTTTTGGAACTTTGGTTCTGACCCTTTTGTTGCTTACATATTTTTTAAGGTTATTCTTATCAATGGCCAGTTTCCTGGGCCTAGACTTGACTTGATAACTAATGACAATGTTATTCTCAACCTTATCAACAAGCTGGACGAGCCATTTTTACTCACTTGGTATGGTTCTAGGCTCCATTTGCTTCACTCATATTTGAAGCTTTTTGGTCCTTTCCTTTGTGTTATGTTATGCGGGGCTCTTACTGTTTAGGTTCCACAAATATGGCTGTAAAGCTTCCATTTTTTTGCGGCAATAGCTTTCTAAACTTTGTGAAAGTCACATTCTCCTAATTTTGATTATATTCTGTGTGTTGACAGTATATCTTAAGAATTTTAGAACTATAACGAACATGGCTTAACATTGTTGTCATACAACAGGAATGGTATAAAACAAAGGAAAAATTCATGGCAAGATGGAGTTTTGGGAACCAACTGCCCCATTCCTCCGAACTCAAATTACACATACAAGTTTCAGACCAAGGATCAGATTGGCACATACACATACTTTCCATCAACTCAACTGCATAAAGCAGCTGGAGGGTTTGGAGGACTTAATGTTTATCACAGATCTGTTATCCCAATCCCTTATTCAAACCCCGATGGAGATTTTACTTTACTCATTGGTGATTGGTACAAGAACAACCACAAGGTAAATAACATCTTTCTTACTCTTTCTCATAATCATTCTGTTTCCAAAATATTCTTCATACTCAACAGTTTCCTGTCAAGTTATCTTCATCTATTTTGTCTTCTTATTTGCAGACACTAAGGCAAACTTTGGATTCTGGAAAATCAATTGGACTTCCCGATGGCCTCCTCATTAATGGCCAGCCTCATTCTACCTTCACTGGCAACCAGGGTAAGCTCGTGGTCTTTAAAGGGTATAGTTCAAACATGCGCCAAGTTTAAGCCATACACGCAGCTCTGTAAAAATTTCTTTTGCCAACAGTAGTTGTTCTTTTCTTTCAGGAAAAACCTACATGTTTAGGATCTCAAATGTAGGCTTGTCAACATCAATTAACTTCAGAATCCAGGGTCATTCACTAAAACTTGTTGAAGTTGAAGGATCACACACTGTTCAGAACACATACGATTCACTTGATGTGCATGTTGGTCAATCAGTTTCTCTGTTAGTAACCTTGAATCAGCCTCCAAAGGACTACTACATTGTTGCCTCAACAAGATTTACCGAGACACCTCTCACCACAACTGCAGTACTACACTACTCAAATTCTTATTCCTCTGCATTAGGACCTGTGCCTCCTGCCCCCGTTGATAAATATGATTTTGACTGGTCCATGAAACAAGCTAGAACCTACAGGTCTGTTCTCTAAAAAATAATAAAAAAAATCCTGTTTTTCTTCGATTTATTTATAAATTTTAATCAGTTTTGAATTAATTATTCCTGCAGGTGGAATCTGACTGCAAATGCTGCTAGGCCTAACCCCCAAGGGTCATTCCATTATGGGTTGATTACTCCTACAAAAGTGATTAAATTGGCCAATTCAGCACCTTTGATCAATGGAAAGCTCCGTTATGCCGTTAACAGTGTCTCTTATCTTAACCCTGACACCCCTCTCAAGCTTGCTGATTACTTCAACATTCCCGGAATCTTCAGTGTGAATTTACTCCAAAACACTCCCTCTAGTGGTCCAGGTTACATAGGCACCTCGGTGTTGCCAACTTCTCTTCATGATTTTATTGAGATTATATTCCAGAACAACGAAAACACCATCCAGTCTTGGCATCTTGATGGTTATGACTTTTGGGTCATTGGGTATGCCAGTTTCCTTGAAATATAAGTCTTGTGTCTAACTATCAATATTTTCACTGGTAGAAGCAATTTAGAATTAGCTTAAGAAAATTTTAATGACGTTTATTGCCACAATTGCAGTTATGGTCTCGGCCAGTGGACAGATGCAAGTAGAAAAACCTATAATCTAGTGGATGCCCTGACCAGGCACACTGCACAGGTACTAAACAAGAAAATGCCATATCCTTGTGTTGAGATATATATCTTCAGAGGAAAGCACTTAAATCCTTATATTAGATCTTTGTTTCTGACATGCATACCTTTTTGTGGTTCAAATGAATGTAGGTGTATCCAAAATCCTGGACTGCCATATTGGTGTCTTTGGACAACCAAGGTATGTGGAATTTGAGGTCTGCAATATGGGAAAGGCAATATCTTGGGCAGCAGTTCTACCTAAGGGTGTGGAATGCACAGCGCAGCCTTGCTAATGAATATGACATTCCCAATAATGTTCTACTTTGCGGCAAAGCTGTTGGACATCATCCTTAGTATATATATATACACACATACATACATATCCAACTATCTTCGTCCTATTTATTCCTGTATTTTCTAGTCATGAGGGTTTGACTACCATTACAATTCTTTTTCCAGGCACAATTCAATTTCGCCAAGATTTCAACAGTCTTGCTATTAATGTGTTAACAATTGATGGAATCTTTACATGTTTCTGGGTGTTCAGTATTGCAGTAATTCTTCCAGAACATATATATATATATATATATATATATATATATATATATATATAGCAAGAACCTTAATACTGGCTTCAGTTTCAAGTTTTAATCATTTTGTAAACCAATTCTTGTTTTCTGGCCTGAGTTTTCACATTCAGTTTTTATCGTTGGTTTTTTAAAATTACTACGAATTGAACCTGAAACAAGTGAGTAAATTACTACATTTCCCCTCAGGTAAGAAAATATATATTATAATATTAAAGAGGAAATTGTACTTAATTTTTCCTGTAAAAATTCATATAAATGAAAATAAGAAAATGTATAAATGTCTATACGGAAATAAATACATATTGTAAAAGCTATAAAAATTAAAATAAGTCTTGTATTTGTAACAAAAATAATAAATATAATGCTACCATTTCTTTAAAAATATCTCAATTGAATAAATACTAGAAGTATGAAAAATATCACATTATTTCATTAATCCTATAAAGAACATGAGTCTATGCACTTTAAGCATTAAAAAATATTATGATAGCCAAATTTTACTATATTAGATTTTAGTTTTGGAAATTAGTTTCTTCTTGTAATATTTAAAGGCATACTTATATGGAGTTCATAATAATGATAATCTTAACAACTGATAATAATATTACAATTAATGACTCTGTTAATATCTTAAAAGTAGTAAAGATGATAATTGAGAAGTTGATATTAATAGTAATAAAAAGGTCAGTAAGAATGGGAATTGTAATGGTAAGGATAAAATTGATATAATAGTTAATACGAAAGATAATAAAAAAAGCATTTGTAAAACGAAAAATCATGCAGATATCTTTGTTATTTTGTTAAAAATTAATATAAAAATATTCTGAAATTGAGTAAAGGCCATTTCAATTCCATTTTACCTTTTGGATTCTGGGCCACTGTATGAAGCTGGTTGAAACAGTGGTGCTACTTCTTGCTTTTCTTTTTTCTTCTTCCTGCACCTCCATAAGCAACAATATCCCATTTCACTCTTTGTTAAAAATATTAAAAATCCTTAAACCCTAATTTCATATTCTTTTTGTTGTCACCAAATGCTTTGCATCTTCTTCCCCTGGGTTCATTTTCTTCTTTTACACAAAGTCGTGTAGAATTAAAACAAAATCCCCACTCGATTTGTGATGAAGTTGAAAGATTGAAGGAGAAAAAAATGTGGAGAAGAATAACATGGAAAAGAAGTTGTCTGGATGATTTGAAAAAGAAAAAAAAATTTGAAATGAAGGTTTTAGAAAATATTTCTGGATTTAAAAATTTCATCTGAAAAGTATTTATTGATATGGAATATGAATTTTTTTTTCTGAAATGAGTATTTCGAAAAGTACTTCTAAATTCAGAAAATGATTTTGGAAACGTCTATTGTAAAACTTTTTTATATTTCTGAATGACAATTCCGAAAGATATTTCTAAATTCAAAAATACTTTAAAAAACAACCATTTTAGAATATAAAAAAAATTCTGAAACAAGTCTTAAAAAAGACATTTTTTTTTATGTGGAAATATCTTTCGAAACGCTCGTCCTAAAATTTTTTTTATATTTTAAATCTCTGGAAATATTCTCCAAAACAGTGATTTTAGAATATATATATATAAAAAAGAAATATTTCGAAACAGATGTTTTGAAAGGTAATTTTTACCATTGTTCACTCTGAAAACCACAAAATCTCATAACATACGGAGGGGATCACTTGCAACACAAGTGAGTAGAATGAAAAATATATAAAAAAGAGAAAAAAGGTGAATTAAAAATGTCAGATGAATAAAAAAGTAAAGAGATGAAGACATAAAAATAGATAAAAAGAAGACGAAAAGGAAAAGTAATTAGAGTATTTTTAAACCATTCATTCTCTTGAATTTAGTTATATATATCTTATTAGATAGATAAGTTAGATAAAAAGTTTTGAAAACTTTTCACTCCAATAATAAAACTACTTAAAAGCTTAAATTTTGTGATTTTTTCTTAATATTTTACGCTAGTTCTTATATATTAAATCTGTTCTTATATTGCATGAATTCTGATTAAAACTCACTTTTCTGTTTACGAATGGGGTAAAAAGTACTTATTGAAATAGCTCTTCATCCTAAATAATTCCATATATACTTACGTTACACGTTTTTTACACTATTCACATTTATATAGTCTTTCATAATAAAAATTGTCAAACCCTTAAAATAACATGTATAAAGGGATGGACAGATGTCTCAAAATAAGAAAGACAAATGTTTCAAAAAGGGATTTAGCATTTTTATAGAAATTTTCCCATCTTTTCACTTCTCAAAATCTGCATCTCTCTAAAACACAAGCTTCTGCCTTTTCTCCTCCATCTCTCTACCATTCTCTTTATTCTCTCTCTACAAATTCTCAGCTTATTCTTCATTTGATCAACAATCAGGTCGTGCCTAAGTTTTTCTGGTGACAAACACTTCTCTTTTCACCCATCAAGTTACTATTTTGGAATTGATTTGTAGACGGTGATTGTGCGTGTGGGATAACCATTTTAGTGAGAGGTCTTCCTTCGGTACGGTCAAGAGGTAAGGGAAGCTAGCTAATTTAATTACTTGGTTTGATGTATGAATATATTGTTTGATGATTAAGCATGTGTATGAAATTGATTTGGATGATTCTGTATAAATGTAAAATTGAATGATTTGTGTTTGGTTAAATTGGTGGGGACTGTTAAATGACTATGTTCATTATGATTGTATTTATGTTGAGTTTCTAGTTCATTGCCGAGTGCATTGTGAAGAAGTGGGATAGTAAAATTTGAGAAATGATGTTCGTTGTGAATGTGGTCGGTATAGAGAATCTGGGTAAGTGGTATAAGACTTGTTAGAACCCTTGAGTTACTTAAAACTGCAATAAAGTTAGGAAATCTGATTTTTGGTCCTTGAGTTGATGATTCTACAGAATTGACTCTCAAATCTGAGATGAAACTCTCTAAATGATGTTAGAAAGGTTTAGGTATTCTTAGTTTAGTTTAGAAATGTGTATGATTCATGTTTGGAGGATTAGAAGTTTGTAAAAATGTTTAGTGTTGGTAAATTTTGATGTGTTCATTATTCTGCAGAATTATGCAGAAAACTGAGGGTTCGTGGTTGACCGCTCGGCCATGCTCTGATTTGGCCGTTCGGTTTTCTTCTGCGTTCGGTTATTAATTGGGTTTGGTGTCTTTGAAGTCCTCCCAGTTCATGACCATTCGACCTTAGTATCGCTCGGTCTCGTACTAGCCGTTAGACTAGTGATAGCGCTTGGTCTTGTACTAGCCGTTAGGCTAGTGATAGCGCTCGATCTTGCACTGGTACTCGGTTTGGTATTGGTGTTCGATCTTAACTACGTTCGGCCTCTGATGGGCCTTACCTGTTAATGAGGTCTCTCTTAGTGGTCGGTCCTAAATAGTGTACGACCACTCCTTCAGTCTTATCTGTTATGAATTGTTCGGTCCTGTCCTCTGGGAAGTGAGAAACCGTTTGGTCTCCACCAGTCTCAGAGTGTTCAGTCCAAGCCGATAGTGTTCGACATAAGATAAAAACGTTCGGTTTAACTCTAGTTNCTGGGGCAATAGTTCATAAGTTTGATTGAAGTGTTACCAGCCTCTTGTTTCGTTCTTCAACTCACAATGGATAAACACACTCGCGAACATGCTATGTCTCTCTTCAATTTTTTATTTTATTTTTTTTGTCTAGGCCAGCAGAATTAAATATGTAATATTATGAACCATTCCTCGTTTTTCTTCTTTTTTCTTACTCTTGTTTCCGTTTCGGACTTCTTTTTTTCAACTTTTTTTATTTAAAATTCAACTGGCTAAACATATTATCATTATGTCGCATTAAAGGTATCTGTACCCTTTACCAACTCCACATGGACGCGTAGTTTGATATATTTATTAAATATAAATATAAATTTATCTTCGCCAACCCACACCAAACAAAAATCAAAATGTTGTATCTTGTCGGTGCTACTTTTACATCAACAGTATATAGCGAAATACGAATATAATAATTATGAAGAGGTAAATTTTTACATTTGTAAAACAAATAAACAATACATTATACGAATACAGTAATCATGAAAAAGTAATTTTTTATATTTGTAAAAAAAAGTAAAAAATAAAAAGTAATATTGAATGAATGTAAAAAAAAATTGTGTATCAAAGTATTGGAGAATTCACAGTAGTTAAGTGACGGAAACTTTCTTTTTGGTTAAGATTATAGATTTTTTTAAAACCGCGTAGATTACCTTAAATTGTGTTCTTTGCGCGAGGACAAATTAACTTTTCCACATTATAATATAATTTGTTCGACGTTACAACCTTAAAGAAATGTCACCTTTAAGGCCATGTTTTTTTAGTGATTTGAGAGAATGAATTTGAAAAGATTTAAAAAATTTTAAAATAAATTTTTTTGTCGTTTATTTGAGTAAATTTGAAGATAAATGAGAATTAATTTGAAAATAAAATTTATAAGAATTAACATAAAATTATATTAACGTAACAAATTAAAAAAATTATTTCAAAATTTATTCTCATTTATCTTTAAATTTACTTAAATAAACGACAAAAAAATTTATTTTCAAATTTTATCAAATTTTTTCTGACATCTTCTTTTTCAAATTTACTCAAAAGAGGGCCTTGAGGTCCGAATTTTGACGAGGGTTCAAAGTTCAAACGGAACAATGAAGAAAAAGCAACCCAACCGTTTACGAGTGAAAAACCACAACAGGAAATAAGAGAGGAAGAAGGAAAGTTCCACTTTTTAATAATGGGGTCAGTATACACAGAAGATAATTTCTAGGAGGCGTGGTATTTTCATTTTCTTTGGCCGTAAGGAACTAGTAACTAACGCGAAAACGCGTTAACCGCGCCGAAAATGAACGATGAATTTGCAACCTTATTAAACAAACAAAATTATGACTT